CCATGCGGGGAAGCGGGGAGTGGGGGGGGGGGAAGCAGGGCGCGGCCGCCGGGCCCGGAGGGCCCCCCCCGGGCGGGGCACTTGCCTTGAGGGCGTCCAGCCCCATGAGGCGGCTCTTGCGGTCCTGATCCTTGAGGATGAGGAAAGGCCGCCCGTACTCGTCAAAAGCGAGGGTCCCCATGGCCGACATGGTGGCGCTGCTGCCGCCCTACACCAAGCAGAGACCAAGCACACGCCGCTCCTAGCCCCGCCCCCTGCGCAGATGTCACTCCGCGCCTGCGCAACCGCCTCCCCCAGGCCGGGTTTGCCGCCCGCGACTAATGTGGCGCCCCCGCCGAACCCTTCTGGAAGCGTCGGAACGGGGGAGGCGTGGCCGTTGCCCAGGCCCCGCCCTTCTTGGGGGAAATACCACTAACGGAATCGCCCGTCGCAGCCACCCCGCGGGCTCTGCAGCCCACGGGGAGGGAGACGGGGCCGGAGCCTTGTGTGAGCAGGGCGGGGACAGAGGTGCGGACACTGCACTCCCCATAAAATCTACCCAAACCATTTCCTCCCCCCCCGTGCCGGATGGTATCGCCCGTGCCGCAGTGCCCGGATGTGGCGGGGCCTACAGCCTCGCGAGACCTGCGCGGGAGGTGAGTGGTGGCAGGGGAGGGTTTCATAGGTAGCAGGTTGAGCCATGGGTAGACTCTGGGAGACCCATGTTTGGAGCCAGCGCTAGCACTGAAGCGGGCTGTGCCCGAGGGAGGAGCGACTATCTTACGCTGGGAGCAGGCACGCGCGCGGGTGTGGACTGCGCATGTACAATAGAGACGCTCAAGTTTGGCCCTCCTACTGGGCCGCTTTCTTCAAGCATGCGCAAGCGCCAACCTGCAGCTAAGCGGCTCAGTGTTCTCCCGTCTCAAGGCCCCGCTCCAGGGCGGGCGGTGGCCCCTTATTGGCTCGCGGACGTTCTGGCCCCGCCCCCTGCCCTGGTCCTTGTGGTGCCTGCTGTGCGGGGGGGGGGGGGGGGGGGGCTGCTGTGAGCTTTGCCAGGAGTTGCTTCAAGCGCCGTGATCTGCCCTTTCTGTCTCTTCCCTTTCTTGCAGCTCTCAGAGCCCCCCTTGCTTTCCTGAGGCAGGGCAGCTCTGCACACTCCCGCCCCGTGCTTGTGGCTGCCATAACAAAACTAGCAGCTTGGGGACGAGGCTCAGTTCCCCCCCAAATAAAACAAAGTCACAGGGGATCAGTCACGGAGCAATCTCTGGGCCCTGCTGCCAGGCACAGACTGCTGCCTGTCCCCAGGTGACAAGCATGTAGGTGGCCTGCTTACAAAACTAGTTACAGCAAAGCCTGCTGGCACTGAGCCCCACCGCCAAATTGTTCCGAACTTGAAGCAGGCAAGAAATCAGCCCGCTGTGCCTCTTTTATCACACGTTCCAAAATGATCTCTTTATCTTGCTAGATGCTCAGTTATACCTGTATATTCTTGCATACAACACATCCCAAAATATAGCACCTTGTTTTTTTGAAAGGCAGAACGGGGGGGGAAGCTTTTTCCAGAGTTAGGGTTGCTGAGAAGAGAGAGCTGAATCTTTAGCTATATCACCCTCCCTTTCTGGTTTAGCTAAAGCCCAAGCTGTTGCTGAAGACTGGTTGCCATGGGTGTCTTTCCAGTGCTCCAGGGTGGAGAAGGGGGGCACTTTAATTAGAGCAGCTCTGAGAGCTGCTGTATTTAAAGAACCCACAGCATCACTTGTATTCAGTGTCCCGTGCTTCAAAATGGTGGCGGGGGCGCTTTAACTTAAAGCTCATTTGATGAGTTTTAGTTAAAGTGCCCCCACCACCATTTTGAAGTGCAGGACGCTGAATACATATGACGCGGAGGCTGCTATAGTACGTTAATTAGCACGTGCCAGCAGACTTTATTAATCCAGCAAACATCCAGCAAGTTTATAGGTAGCTTTCCAATTTTGAAAACGGCTAAAGAAGCTGTGAAATAAGAGAAGAGACCAAGACAAATGAACACACAGCAAAATTGCCCAAAGAAAGGTTAGTTTGATTAGGAGAACATCAACACCATTAAAAAGGAGAGAGGATTGTTAACATCTCTGGAGTGAAGAACAATGAGCCATTAAGTCAGTTGACTCTTTCAGTAGCCTGAATATAGATTTTCCTCGCTTTATGCTGTATATGCGTTCCTGGAAAGCAGTGCATAACTCGAATTCGCATAAAGGGAACCCACTTTACAATGTAACAAATAGGGATATGTTCTAAGACCTCGACTGTACTGACCCCCAGACCCATTTCTATCACTTTCACAAAACAATTTTGGTACTCACCAACACCAGACAGTACACACAAGCACTGGGCACTATCATAATGGAGATGGGAACTACAGAAACACGTGTTGCAGATAACGAGCAAGGAGAACAGCCACACAGGAGCCTATATTTTGGTGCTTGTCACTCCCACAGTGCAATGCACAAAACAGCTGACTGCGGGTTTCCACCACACAGATCGCATAAGAGTGAATTTACCTTGCATATAACGAATTGGTATAAAAAGGGTCATCACGTAAGAGCGAATTCACACGTACAGAACCTGCAAAAAATGAGGGAAACCTGTAGTAATACTCAAGTTGCTACACTCTGGAGCAGAATCACAGTAGGGTGCTTGTATCTCCAGCCAGAAACATAGCTTTTTTGCTTAAAACATGTACCCCAATGGGGGGGTCTGATTTTTTGGTTAAAAGGTGTATGTCGTGTTTGAGAAAGTATGGTAATTTCAGTAAATTAGTGTTTATAGTACCAACTGGCCCTTTTAATATGTGAAAGCAAAGTGCAAGAGATCAAAAATCAAATGTCTGCATATTTTTGGTTTTTGAAATAACATATGTACTTTATTGTTGCAAACCTAACATTTGTTAAGATACCTTTTACCATAAAATGCATACAGCATACTGATCATATAAATTTGTATACTGTCAAGTAAAATTGTAGTGGCATTTAAAATATCATTTTGGGTAAAGAAAGGTACAAATTAATAGCAATTGATAGAGGATCATTCATGGTGCATTGTTGTTATGAAATCTGCATGATCAACCCAACAGTGTCTCATTTCTCATCTGCTTATAGCCACATCCGTAAAACTCAACTGTGGACCAAAAAGGTGAGTATGTATTGGAGAGAGTACTTTTTTTTTAATCATGTGTTTGCTATTTTAAGTCTCTCTTACATGATTACAAAATACCATTTCAGTATGAATGATGATTTGGGGCAGGGATGGCTAATCTGCAGCCTGGGGGCTGTAAGTGGCACGGACAACTTCCGTGTGTGTCATGTGGCAGATTGAGGAAGGAACAGGCAGCACAGTGACAGATAGGCCAGGGAGCAGCATGCAGAGCATCAGATTAGGCATGGAGCATAGGGAAGAGCAGAAAGCTGAGCAGCACATTGGGTAAGGGAAAGGGATCGGAGTGGCACTGGGGGTGTGTGCTGGGCTAATTTGTGCCATTTCTGCCAAAACGTTTAGCTCCCATTGATTTGAGGACTCTTGCCATAGCTTTCGGTGGTTACAAGGTTACAAGCTCTTTGGGTTTGTCTTTGATACAGGCTGCCTGCAGGCACCCAGCAGCCACCACAGGGAAGCCACTAGAGCATGTCTCTGCTTGCGCAGTTTCTGGCAGGGGCACTCTGGGAGGCATCAGCTGGTAAAGGTGCCTCAGCAGTTGGCAGAAAGTGCGGGCACATCTATGTATGCTTTCGGGCAAAAACCTTTTGTAATTTACAGAAGTGGTGCTGCTCTGCCAGCAGAAATAAGGGACCTTGCTGCTGCAGGGGTACTGAGTGTGGCAATGCTAATGGCTTGGATGACAACACTATGTAAAGTTGGCTAGGCTGTATATATATCTTTGCCAAGATGCTGGCTCCACTTTGGATTTGTGGGCTTGTTGTTACTAACTTTTTCTCTTCTATTCTTTACTGTTTTCAGTGTTGGCCTGACACTCTAGAGGTTGGTAGCACAGACTGAGTAGTAAGTAGGTCTTAAATGGAGGTGGTCTGGTATTCACGTGCAAATGCTGGGTAAGAAGCTGGGTTTCATTGAGCAGAACTGTCATTCTTCCCGGCCTCCACCAGGGAAAACCTTATCTTAGCAATAAAGTTACCCAACAGGCTTGTCAACTCTCCCCCCTCCCACCACCACCACATTTGCCCTGCAGTGAGGACTAATCAGATTGTCACCTGACAGAAAGACTGGAAGTATAAAAAGGCAGGAGCTAAGATGCAGCCATGTTCATCAGCTCATAGTGTGGGGGTACTGCTTGCTCCAGGAGGGCTGGCAAGAAATATTCCTCAGTTTCTGCAGTTCTTGAGACACAGGAGAGTGCTCATGGGTTGTCTGCTCCACACTCCCCAGAGAACTGAGCAGCATTATAGCTGGGGATCACCACACTCTGATTTTGAAGCAATCTGGCAGGAGGGCTTTAGTAAGGTGCTACACATCTGTATGGCACGAGAGTACTTCAGATGTACATCTGTCCGTGGCCTAGATTACTTTAGGGTTATAAGACTAATACAGTACATGCACCTTGTTTTAAAGAAAATCAGATTTCTGGCAAGGTAATATTGTGGTTGGAAGGGACCTCATGTCATCTGGTTCAAGCCCTGTTCAAAGCAGGACCATCCCCAACTAGATCATCCCAGCCAAAGCTTTGTCTACCTGGGTCTTAAAAACCTCCAAGGATGGAGATTCCACAACATCTCTGGGTAACCTGGTCCAGTGTTTTGCTACCTTTCTTGTGAGAGAGTTTCCCCTAATACCTAACCTACACCTCCCTTGCTGCAACTTGAGACCGTTGCTCCTTGTTCTGTCATGTGTCACCACTGAGAACAGTCTAGCTCCATCCTCTTTGGAACCCCCCTTCAGGTACTTGAAGGCTGCTATCAAATCTCCTCTCAGTCTTCTCTTCTCCAGACTAAATAAGCCCAGTTCCCTCAGCATATGCCTCACCATTTTCATTGCCCTTTGCTGGACAGTGTTTAGAACTATATTGAAAGAGCAGTGCCTCAAGCTCAAACAGTTTCTCAGAAATAATGGGGATTTATACACATACTTTTCTGTCCCTCGACCTGCTGGAGATCTGCCACTTCCAAGCAAACTTGATTAATCGAGTGTGCTTTGCATGCGAGCTGAGGTGAACTGCAGTGCGCTGTGTGCAGTTGTGTAAGTGGCGAAATGCGTGTCAGCCCACAGAAAATGGTAGCGGGGCACTTTGGAACTAAAGCACCTCCAATGTGTTTTAGTTCAAAAGTGCGCCACTGCCATTTTCTCAGTGCTGATGTGCATTTTACCGTTTATACAACTGCAAGCGGCATAGCGCTGGGCGCTTCTTTTTGTGTAAAAATGCTCGATGTTTGGATTCTTACTGGTCTATCTGTAGCATGCAAGGCTAACCCTCAGTTAACCTCAGTCAGTGGTGACGCGTTGGGGGTGCATGTGCACCCCCTGAGATCACTGGTACATCCCCTGACAGGCTGCATTCCCTGCTCAAGCAACAGAAGTACCAGTGCCCCCCGGCAAGCGGCGGACGGGACACCCCCTCCCCACCCGGCTGGGGGCCTCCCACTGACTGGTTGCTGGGGGGGCATGTGCCCCCCCCCCCGACTAAGGTGGCAACAGTCGCCCATGACCTCAGTGCTGGAAATCCTGTAGCCACATTTGTACAGTACTGCATCCCAGCTAATAAACATTTCTCCTTAACTTGTTAGCTGGCCCTATGCAGCCACAGCGATGTGACTCTGATCTTCATGATTAGAGGTCAGGAAAACAGACCTTACACTGAAAGGCCGAGAGCTATGGGGCTGTTCAGCCTGGAAAAGTGCAGGCTCAGGGGCGATCTGATGACCTCCTATAAGTTTATAAGGGGTGTTCACCAGGATCTGGGGGAACATTTGTTCACCAGAGCGCCCCAAGGGATGACAAGGTCGAACGGTTATAAACTCCTGCAAGACCATTTCGGACTGGACATAAGAAAGAATTTCTTTACTGTCCAAGTCCCCCAGGTCTAGAATAGCCTGCCATCCGAGATGGTTCAAGCACCTACTTTGAACGCCTTCAAGAGAAATGTGGATGTTTATCTTGCTAGGATCCTATGACCCCAGCTAACTCTCTGCCTCTGGGGCAGGGGGCTGGACTCGATCTTCCAAGGTCCCTTCCAGCCCTAATGTCTATGAAATCTATGTGACTGCACTGCTGGCTCTGGGACTTGAGAACAAACGCAGCTAGTTTGGGGTATCTACATGGTATTGCATTGCGCTGCAATGACATATAACATAGCACTCCCAAGAACTATAAACCAATTGAGATAAAGAGAATACTTGTGTACTGTTTTAATCTTAACTACTATGACTATTTAAACCACAATGTTATCATCCAGCTGTGCACTGCACTTTAATTGCTTAATAGAACTCGTCTGCCCTAAAAGGAGAAAAAAAAAGTTCCTCTTTTATAACAGAAAATAATTGTATTTTGATGAGAGAAAGGCTACTGATATTAGTTTCAGTAGAAAGTTTGTAATCATTAGAAACAAGAACAGTCTCTTTCTTTTTTCCTTTTAGGGCAGGTGTTTCATTTCTTGCTATGTGGGATTTATGTACTTCTATTTGTGTTAATGGGAGTTAAACATGTAAATTCCCTGAAACACAGATGAAAATAGATTCCTTACTGCTTAATATTTGAATGTTGTAGGTGAAGCAGAAAAGACAATTATAGAATATAGTGGGAAGAATAGATTTTAAAATTAAATTAGGACCGTATAATTTTCTCCAAGACAGTTTCATCTTTTGTTAATATGATTTGGGAATTTATCTCTGGTTCAGAGGAAATGGAAGCTTTATATGAACTCAAGTTTTTTCAAATATCTTGGTATCATCAGCAAGCACTTGCCTATTGAAATGGGGGCATATTTGTGGTTTCAAATAAGTCGTTACATATGCTTTTCCTTTTTTTCAGTTTCTCTTTGTAAATGTTGAAGCAAGATAGCCATCCACAAGACATCTTAAAATATGAATTTTGATAATGACAATTCAAGAAAAAAGAAGTGGGGCTTGCTGGTTACTGGTGTTGTTGGTGGGACACTGGTAGCACTCTATGCTGTTGTCACTCCCTTCATAACTCCAGCTCTGAGAAAAATTTGCCTGCCTTTTGTTCCTGCAACTTCAACTCAGATTGAAAATGTTCTGAAAATGTTACAATGCAGAAATGGATCTCTGGTTGACATTGGTAGTGGAGATGGACGAATTGTGAGTGCTCTGAATCCCCTAAATTTTGTGCATGATATTTTGTTGCAGCCCTGTCCCCCTCAACCCTAGAAATTTTCGATAAAGGCTTACCTCCACTGAGCCTTGTGTAAAATTTAAGTGCCAAAATACGATTCACATAACCCCTGCCTAACTGCTTAGGCTCCCCGGAGTCCATAGGTGCCAAAGTTTTCTTCAAAGTTCCTAAATTGCCTAAAGTTATGCCATTGCATGTGCCCAGATCTATATTCATTTTGGCAGGGCTGACCATTTTGTGCCTATTTCCTGCCTATGTTGAACTGGGATTTACAAATTAGACAGTTTATAAGTTGCCTGTGGGGTCTGATCCAGTAGGTCTACTGGGAACATGGTGAACATATGTAGCATTGCATTCAGGGCAAAACACAGAAGCTATGATCATTCTGGATGAAAGTGGTAGTAGTGCTTGCCTTTAATGACAGCTGTGAGGTTAGGGTGCTCTTCCAGGAAATGGGAAACCTGGATTTAGTGTTTTCCTTGACCTGAAGTGGTTCAAACCCACAAACCCATTGGCTTTTTTTTTGCCCCCAAATCAGCATGCTGCCTGTTGTGAATCCTATTCTTAGGCACCTAAGTCTCCCCACATGCTGTATGGGGAATCTGAGTACCTAACTCAAGGTTGTGAATCACGTTCCAGGTGCCAGGCACTTCAAAGGAAGGCATGATGATGTTGTGTGTTACCATACTTTATTCCCTTCGCGGATCCAGCCCAAAATGGATGAAGCTGTTCTTAAGTATGCAGGTCACAAACTTCAGACTGTTATTCATTCACCCGGGAGTACCATTGGGCAGATTGTGAGAATAAGATTCTTCAAATGCTATCATGGAAATGTGACAAAATTATTAGATTATGTTACTTGAATGCTATTTGACCAGTTTTATTCAGAAACAAAAATATCTGCTCCTTTTCCTACTCTATATTTCTGTAATTTTGTCATACAGAATTCTTAATCAAGATTTGCATGAGGCAGACACTAAAATACTTGTCAAACCTGTATTTCATACTTCTTGCAAGTTGCACGTGATGTTACCATATAATCTCCTTATTAATCTTATATTGTTTTATGTCTGATCTCTTTGAATAATCAGAGCATGAGTGCATGGCTTTATTTATGTATGGGACCTACAGTATGTTTTTTTCATGTAAAGCTGCAGGAGTTAGAAATTATTTATACGAAATACCAAAACATACTTTCCTTACTCATTTTAATCAGGATTTATTGAGATTACTTATTATTACAATGAGCAGAATATAACCTGCAACCAGTAACTGATTTATGAAGCAGGTGAGCAGTTTTACATATTTTAAAATTTAGAATCTAGACTACTTTGCTTAACAAAAGCAAGCTGACAATCATAATTTTTAAATCATACATCCATTATTAAAATTGAAACAGTAGTATGCTATTCACGACAAAGATACTGGGTAATTATCTGTAACAGAAAAGGACTGTAGTAAAAACTACTTACTTTGTCACTTTCTCTGTTAAGTGCATTGTCCCAGATTCTCAAAAGTCATTTAGGTGCCTAACTCTCAATGATTGAAATCAATGGGAGTTAGACACCTGAATTACCTTTGAGGTTCCAGGTCCCCCTATGTTTGTAGATGAGCACAGGCACATATACTCTTCTTCACTGCTTTTTGTCCACACCAGTTTATAGGCAAGGCACCAATGCTAGTTGCATTCTTAAATACGTGCAAAAGTCATGGCAGTGTTCTGGATTTGCACACCAATCTTGCAAATGTACTTGTGTGCTTTATTTATAAAAAGGAATGTTTTAATTTATTTCAGTGGAAATACTCAAGGCAGTAAAATAAAGCTTGCATGTAAGAACTTCTAAATGAAAGCTCCAATCCTGAAAATAGACAAAAATAAAGGACTCCTTGATTTCTGCTCTGAATAAAATTACATTTTTCTCTTATGCGCTTACTGGAAGTAAGCACAATTTTGGTTTAAACAGTGGCGTGCTATAGCTTGCTCTGGTCTTTAATAAAGATTCTTTTTTGTTTCTTTGTAGGTGATAGCAGCTGCAAAAGAAGGATTCAGAGCTGTTGGTTATGAATTAAATCCCTGGCTAGTCTGGTACTCCAGATACTGTGCTTGGAGGGAAGGTGTGCATCATGATGCCAAATTTTACATTTCAGATTTATGGAAGGTATGTATTGGTTTAAAAAATAACCTATAGAAACCAAAGTACAAAATAAATTGACTGGTGAATTAAAAAAAAGAATTTTTAAATTTTAAATTTAATTTTTTACATTTTAAATAAAAATATACAGCTGTTTGTGATAGTCTGTTAACATTATTTTAGCCTGGGTTTTTTAATGTGGTTAATTTAAGCACCCAAAAGTTGGGAAATATGAAAGATAAGGTTGCAAAATTATGCATGCATGCATTATGTGGCAGACTTTGATAGTCACATTGTTTTTCAATCAGCTGTAAATCTGGTTTTTTTACAACTTCTAAATACTGTAGAATATTGAGTTGTGTGTGGATGTATGTATAGTTGTGCTTGTGGATGCATGTATGTGTGCATACATATAGCTACATTGTATTATTTGAAAACAGTATATGATCATTTAATTACTGCAGTTAGTGAAACAGAAGACGACCCTGGTTATTAGACGACCTCCCAGTAATTATATTCTATATATGGACATTTTATAAATTCATTATAATTTTCCAGGTGTAGAATCGAATGATCGGAGGTTTGCCTTGAATTTTTCCCCCTTCCACTGTTAGAGCAGGGAAAATAAATCTGTGTAGTCAAGTAGCCCTTTAACTATCTGTATCCTCCCAACTTTCTCCCCTGGCAGTCCCTTCCACCTTTCATTACTGTCAGATGCTTCTGTTCCTGAGCAGACAGAAGTGAGGAGCAAATTTGAAAACAGTAACCTTGAAATTAAACATGGCTGAATAGGTTAAATCAGGCCCATGCAAATCCATCGTGTCAGATCCATCATGCAGGACTGATCTAGTTCAGACATGTATGCAGCATGCGTGCCCTGGATTGCCCTGTTTGCAGCACGCATGCCAACTCCAGACCTGGGCACTGCATGTAGCACACACCACCCTTGCATGTGGCACATGATGCATGAGGCTGGTCTGAGTTGTGTGCTACAAGTGGCATGTAGAGCTAGTCTGGGGCACAGTCTGCAAAGGGAAATGTGGAGGGAAATCTTTAAGTGGCCTAAAGCTGGTGTAACAGTTTCTACATGGTTTCTTGTGCTAGTCCCTGGGGCAAGGGGATGAATAGGTGGGCTAATAATTTTGTATCGTCTTAGACTATACATTCTCTTCATAATAAACACATTTGTAATTTTTTTATAGGTTAGATTTTCCCAGTATACAAATGTTGTTATATTTGGGGTACCTCAGTTGGTAAGTCTCTCCCTTTTTTTTAAATGATCTTTAACTGTCTATAGTAGTTTTACACTAAACCAGTTGAAATTGCTACATTGATTTAGAAAATGAGCCCACTTAGTGTAGTACATTTGACATTCAGTTACTTATTTTAACAGCATAATGGATTGTGGATTATTAGTATTTAATAATTATTAAGATATTATGCATCCTGCTGCTACAACTTGAAGCTTGTGAACAAAATATAAATCTCAAGTATCTAAATGTGCTTCTGAAACTCCAGTTCGGCGCCTCTCACAATCCACATTTCAATACAGTTTAGAACATTAATGCTGTGACCTTCTACATGCATCTTTAATTACTTGGAAAAGTTAATGAAATGTTCAGTTGAAATTGATTGTTCTTCAGATTTTTCAGTAAGATAATTTTCAAGTAGGATGAGCAGTGACTAATTTTAGCTCAGTTCTGTGGACTGGTTGGCTGAAAATCAAAGTTCAATATTCTGTTCATGCATTCTTCAGAATTTGAAAACACCTCATTTAGTAGCATTGAAACAGCCCTCAGATGCATTTGTAAAGATTAGCAGGATGGGGTGCTTTTAGTATGATTGCTAGTTTGTAGATTATACAGGGAAATTATTTTTTTATTTTTAGAGGAAGTTGTCTATCACTCAGAAACATCAGCCTCTTTCTGAAATTATATTGCTGTTTAATATTGTGAAAATGGTATTGCAAGAAAGCAATCAATTTTGTGGTATACTACATGGATGTCGTCAAACTTCACGTTCATTTTTTACTCTTTTTTTCCAAGTGTTGTTAGATTTTTATACTAAAATCTCTCTGATTTTAAAATAAACACTGTATTAGAGAACTTGTCTTTTATGTGTTTTAAACACATTTCAAATATCCCCCATTTCATTTCCCCATAAATGCTTTTTTTTTTTTTTTTTGAGTGGTGTGAAGAGCTTTGTATCCTACTGATATGGCATAGACATGTAGTGTGTAATGGGAATAATCTGTGATAAAATATTGTTGCAACATTAACAGGGAGTTGCAGTAAGAAATATAACAATGTCTTCCTTCTGTTTGTCCTCTTTTGTTCTTGAAGGATGTAGTACTAAAGGTTTATTTGACTAAAGCACCGGCCACAATGCTCTCATTTTGATAATTACGTAGCTTATAATTAAATTTTATTTTTACTTTTGTTAGCATATTGAAAGGAAATGTCTCTTCGATATTTGAATGTGTTCCAGAAGTTTTATTGCATTTGTTCCCAGGAGGCTGAGATACAGACCTATATTGGTTGGTTTACTGTAGTAGTAATTTTTGTTCCAGGAGAGGGCACTAGAAGCCTTTGTTCCAAGTGTATCCTTGACTTACAATACCAACTGTTTGGTTGCATGATTTTGACAAGACCATAGTGTAGTGGTTGTCTTTGCAGTTAATGTGTGAGAAAATTAGGGCACCCTTGCTGTACTGAGTGATATCATGATCACTGTCTGGTTCACTTGCTGGTACAGCTATGAATCTGCAGTTAGAAATTCTGCAGCCGCATTGCAGAATCCCTGAGGGTGAACGTGCAGATGAAAACAGACAACGTGGTAAATTACAAGTAAACAGTTGCACAGAACAGCAAATGTCACCCAGCTGAATGGAAACATTTGTTATGTAGTTTTTAATTAGTAGGGGCCTAATATGGTGTACATTAGCCATTGGGGTTTTTGATCAGTTTCAATAGTAGAGAAAAGTGCCGCAGCCTTTACAAAAAGAAAAAAAAAGAAAAAATATTTTACTTCTGCAAACCTTGTGTAAAATACTTCCAGTCAAAGTAATTAGGGCCTGATCATATTCCACCTATTAGGCACGTAAGTGTGGTTTTATTCCACTTTGCTAAGTCCTTGAAGAAACATTAAAGCTGCTGCTTTTGTAACATGCTATCATCTTAGCTGTAAGGCCCATATACCTTTTGCATTACCTGTTTATTGGGGATTTGAGCAGAGTAGAATAAGATCACACTTAAGATTGGGCTCTTAGTTTTTGTGTGTTTTTAATTCTTGCCATGTATGCAATGGGCTCAAACATATGAAGAACTTAGGACTTCTCACAACCTGCTGTAATGTCAGAGTGGAGTTGGGAGTCTCATCATTTCATATGATTGGACCTAGCTTTTGAACCTGTAACTCATTTTCTCTTTTGTATAGGTAAATATATCTTGTAAGTAGTGTTGGGCTAGACAGAAGCCATAAACATGTTACTTAGGCCCTTGGCAGATGTTACACTTAAGATGCGATTAACCCAGTTATTGGCGACGCGTGGGAGGTGCACATGCACCCCCTGAGACTAGCGCTGTCGATGCTGCTGGCAGTGCCTGCAGGCGGTCGCCACTCGCCGCTGCCTGCGGGCAGTTGCCGTGCCCCGCCAGCCTCCAAGGGTACATGTCGTTCATGAACCCAGTTAATCATATCTTAAAGTGTAATTGGCCAGACGTTCATACAATTAATGACACAACAAAAAGTGAAACCAGCCACAATATTGTTACACAACTAGCTTGGTGGCTCCCCAGAGACAGCTGACAATCTGTTGATTGCCAGGCACCTTTGCCAGTGCAAAGGGAGCTTGGGATCATGATCCTGGTCTCCCACTGTACTGCCAGGGAGGATGCTCTTGGGATTTGATCTCTGATCCCAAAATTGCATGTCCTGCCATGTACGTGTGATATGGCAGGAGGTGCAATTGTTGGGATCACACATCAGATCCCATCCTGCCTTTAACTGAATGACTGTCAGCTGCCTTAGTTTTTCCGTTTGACATTATAACTAACTTGCACTGCCTGGATTAAATGATCCCTGGGATACACTGAATGATCCATCCATCCATTCATGCAAGCTTTCTGTAAAAGTTCAGGTTTGACAATGCTATGTGGGATTTGGTCAAAGTGAAAAAAGATTACATTTGTAGTAAAGGAGGGTTTAAAAAAATATTAACTAAATAGACATTTTGGAGATATTAATATAGTATAGTACGTATTCAGTGTTTGTTTAAAAAAAAAAAAAGCCCCAAAAACATGCACATATGCAGGCAGGCACACAAAAGCATCCACCTTTGAAAAAAGATCTAAACAGTTAATATTGTTGAGACATTTCATTTTACTAGTATAGGCCAATTCCAGTTAAAGGATTGAAGTTATAGTTACGATGTAATACATTGACTGATTTTTCAGAATACTTCAGTGTAATTATGCCTGAAATTGATGGATCGTGCCAGTGTTTTGCATTCTTGTATGCTAAGACTTGTTTATTTATTTATGTGTACTATAGTTAGGTAATGTGTGTAGCACAATTGGCTCTTTTCATTTTGAGGTTTATGTTAGCTCAGCCTGAGATATCGAAGTCAATGTTAAATAAGCGAAATGATCAGAAAATAAAAGAATAGTAGCACAGATATTTACAGGCCTTCTTTGTTTGAACAAAATTGAAACACAGAATGCTTAAATAATTTTAAGTAATCTGTGGTAAGTCTGTGAATATCAGTGCCTCAGAGAGAATGATCCTTTTGAAACTTCAATTTATCTCTTAAAAGAATGATACATTAAAGTTATTCTGCAGCTGCAGAATGTGCTTTCAAGGTTTTGACAGTAGAAACTATCTGCAACTTTTGATAGTGTTTCTGTTGTTTGGGTTTTTTGGAGCTGGGGAAAGAATGCCTGCCTGCCACTGATGACATGAAGAGTTCTGTATAAAACCTTGTCTATTATGTTTGTAAGAAACTTTTGGTTTCTTTTAACCCAATCTTTAATTCAGTCAGTAGCTTTCTAAGATGCGTTATATATGTATAAATTACTTAACTTTCCTTTGATACTACAGTAATTTTTAGAAAATAAAAGGCAAGTAATTTACGGTGCTTGAAAGAAAATATTTTTATTGAACACAATTAGGCTGTTAATCTCACATCTACAAATATGTTTTGAGAGAAATATCTTTTCATACATTAAAAAATGCTTAAACAGTTGTACATTATTGTATGTCAGCATAACATCATTCGTTTCCTGAATTGTAATAAAAGTTAGCCTCTATGCTCTAGGACACAAAATAACCAGGTAGCTGAACCATTGTTTTGTGCTGGTAAGGCAGTCTTTTTTTCTATGGGTTTGATTATCCGCCTAGTCTTCTACAAATGGATGGGGGTAGGACTGGGTGGAGTCCTAGCCCTGGGGCTGTACTTGTAAAAGGAGTGGTGTATACTGGTCCTGTGGTATCATTGCACATGGTGACAGTTAGGGGACAAGGTGTTTGATTCTCTACACCATTGCTTACTCAGCTGTAAGTCAATATTTATTCACATAGTAACCACAACCCAATTTATATTAACTTGGGGTCAGAGGTATCAGAGAAGCATCGACTGTTTCAAGAGCCATCATGCGGACACTAAAGACCTTAACCTTCCCTTGACATGGAACCTGGGACATAATAGAAGGACTTGCCCTTCCCAGGGCTGTAGTCTGGAAGAGGAATCTAATTGTGCAGTTTTTTTTCCCCCTCAAACTCAGATTTCTTGCCTAGGGGATGATCTAGCTCTTACTTAAAATGATCATAAATTATAAAAATATATGTAAATGTTAAGCATCAGAGTAAATGAAAAGCCATTTCTAGCTAGGAAGAATATGATTCTGCATCATAAAAGCTTCCAAGGACTAAAACAGAGATCTTCAAACCTTGGATTTGTCTCAGGCATTTAAAATATTTCAAGAGAGAATGCTTCTGTCTTACCCTCTCAGTGGCTTTTGTTGTTGTTCTGCAGATGCCACAGTTGGAGAAAAAGCTTGAAGATGAACTCGAGCACGATGCCAGAGTCATTGCCTGCCGCTTTCCTTTCCCGCATTGGATGCCAGATTATACTACTGGTGAGGGAATAGACACTGTGTGGGCCTATGATTCAAAAAATTTTAAAGGAAGTGAAAAGAGATACTCAGAGACTCTGCCAATTATGCATTCCTCATAATAAAGTCAGGTTAAAAAGTGTTGTGGATGCTAACTTTGATTCTTACACCAAAATACTCATCTCTGTCTTCAATGGCTGCTAAAGCGGCGGGATAATAACAGTAAGTATTAGCATGAACACCGTGTGCCCCTGGAGGCTGGGGGGGCCAAGACAAGCTCCCGCAGGTGGCGGCAAACAGCAAGCTCCTGCAGGTGGCCACAGTGGTGTCCGCAGTGGGGGGAGGGGGTAAGCGCTGACCAGTGATCGGCAACCACCCACAGACCAGCAGCAATTGGGGTCTGCCCACAGATGCCACCAGCAGCCGGGGGCAGGGTGACGAGCGGCAATTGCCTGCAGGCAGCATAGGCAGCACTTTTTGCAGGGGGTGTACCGCCAAGCTCATGGGGCTAGCCAGCATGCAGCCCCCACATGGAAGCACCCTCATGCCCCAGCCAACCTCGTCAGCGTCTGAACGTGCGTTGCGGTGCAGTTAACTCCACTGTAGGATAGTACTTGTGTCTGGCAGTACTATCCTATGGCAGAGTTAATTATTATACTCCATCCTAATAGCACCGCACGTGTAGACCCTGACGTTTTGCTGCAGAACTAAATAGGCAACTCCATAGTAAACGTCTCGTGTAGACACGCCCATTGCTTAACAAGGAGATGCATGACAACATTTCTCACTAGTTTTTAACGTGAAAAGTTTATACAGGCAAGATTTATTGCTGTTAAGGATCAGTGTATTAACAAAACGCTCTATTTATCAAGTGTGCACCAGAGGTTTTGTGCAAATTGTTTCTCAGAACAGGTAATGAGATGGAACTTGATTCTCCACTGCCTTGCACCGTGAGCAGTTACTTATGGTTATACAAAGTGAATGAAAATTCTGATCTGGGAATGAGTTATATCTGCTTTACACACACTTTTTAGAGGTGCAAGTGACTGCTTACTACAGTGTAGTAGAGAACCAAGCCCATTATCTTGGCCTTGTATACTTGGTATTACAAATTCAGATGTGACACACTTTGACATAAAGAGACAGAAGGAAAAAATGGTGAAAAAGGTCCTGAGTTACATTTTAGATGCTTAGTAGAGAATGTCCACGTCTCAATGGCCTTATGAATTAGTATTAACTTATTTTTATTTAAGTTGCTGCTTCTAGGTAGAACTAAGCTTTTGGGAAAGACATCTGGCACAGGTTTTTGCAGATCACCATGACTTTCCTTTCACCAAGGTAACTCTTGACAAATTAGGCAGAATTTGTCATCATGGTCTATCATAGACTGAAAGGTGTTGCCTGTAGAAAGTCACCAAGTACTTGCTCCTTCCAGATGTGGAGAATTTGCTCTCGCTTTGCTGGCTTCATTCCATTCACCAGCTCTATTACCCACTAAGATAGTTCTGACCTTCTGCATGGTCCCTAATGATTTGGTGATTCATCCAGAGCTAAAAACCTCTCCCTCTACCCCTATTAGAACAACATGCAGATCCATGGAATCAGCTGTTGTTAGTTCTTTTTTCAGTTTTGGTCTGTTCCCTTTTGTCCTTGAAATAGGCTATGAAAGGGTAGGCAAGGGTACACCACATGGAGAACATGAAGGTAAAGTCAGTCTCCAAGTTTGGTTGAGGTATGTGCACCCTCACTGAGTTTATGCGTTCAGACAGTCCATCTCAAAGAACTCCAGTTGCAGGGAATTACTTGTTCCCTTTCTTGGCTATGCTGCAGGACATCATGGTCCTTTGTGGAAGATTCATGCATCCGTGTTGTCAGGTGGTCCAGTAAAGTGCACAGTGCCAGGTTTCTTACAACTCAATTGTAGTCTCCACAATAAGACAAGGATTAGCTCGCTGCTGTTACCATTCTCCTCCTGACTCATGGTGACCCGTCCTAGCCACTGTTCCTGTGACCTGTGAAAGTATACATAGGGGACCAACCACTGGAAAAAAACTTCTCATCAACTAGTTAAGCAGGTGCAGGATGATAGTAGGATGTGGCCTCAGGTAGAGGGTGCTTGGTGTTTGCCTGGATGCGGCTAACCGTGACCCTCCAAAGATGTTGCAGGCACGGGCAGGGGCAGTGCCAGCTCTGCTGTGCTAATTGTGGCAGCACTACCAGCCACTGCTACAGCCTCCCTCCTCCCCTCAGGCTAGTGGTTGAAGGCCTGCTGCACTTTATACAGATTTTGTAAAGGGGTGAGTTACTAGGTGAATACTGGGCACAGGAAGCCAAGTCTCTGTCTTAGTGGCTTAAGTAGTTACAGCCATGAATTAATACCTCCATTTGAAATGGCATCTTGTAGAAGCAGCCTTTGGCTACCTACTTTGAGCAGAGTAAAGCGGCATGGGCATGAGTTGGACAGACCTGCTCTGACTTGCATTTCAGCATAAGGAGTCAAAAGGTTTTGGAGCATTCATAGAATCCAGAGGTGCCTTACTTTGCACAGCCCTAGACTGTGAGGGGACTAGTGAAGCATCAGGCCTTCCTGGAGTCATGGGTTAAACGAGCACAACTCTCAGAAGAAGCTGTGCTTCCTGTCCCATCAGTAAGAACTGTCATTTATGGGTTGCTTGCATCAAAAGATTATGTTCTCCAGGGGCTGCAATACACTAAGGCTCTTCATAGACTTTAAACTAATGGCACAGTTGAGATCTGGGGAATTTTATGCCCATCCCAAAAATCACACGTAGAATGTTCAGCAAGGTGAGATGAATGAGCGTTTATCGATATGCAAGCTCAGCTAGCAGTCTTCCCATAATTTCTTCTTGCCCATTAGCAATGAGAAAGTTCAGCTTTATCAGTTGTCTTCTGACTGTAGCATCCCACATGGTCTTTGTAACATATTTTCCTTTCCTACCCTTTGGAAAATCCCAATATGTTATTCTCAGCTCTCTCAACATGTGTGTTTTCATGCTCCTCAAAGCCTTTTCTGCATCATCAAATCTTTCCAGATGGAAAGTGTATGTGAAAAAGTTGAAATGCCCTTCTTGTTGAGGGTGGGGGAGGTCTGTAAATCTGGAGGAACTGATTTTCTTGGTTGCTTTTTTGCAGGAAATTTTAAAAAACATTTTAAGCATCACTTGCCTGCTGGCAGTGCACAGATGATGCCTGCTGCTGCACGTCTGCCTTTCTCTCTCTCTATCCCTGCGTGAATGTGTTGAAGAGATGAATGAAACTTTCTACAAATTCAAAACTGATCTGTTTAAATTTCATTCTTTGCTAGACTGATTAGTGAGCCTCAAGTTGCTTTGTGAACCTCTTGGGGAGGAAAATCAGTTCTTACCACAACAAGATAATTTGTTGGCAAAGGTCCATAAGCTGTTTCCTGTTGCTGTTACATGAACCAATCCCATATGTGCCAAAAAAGTCACTGAATGTATTCCATATCTTTCCCTTGCATCCTTATGCATGACAAGGATGTTATGCTGTAGGATTCTACTAATGAGAGCCTGTAGGGTCTCATAAAATTTCTTTTTCTTCTTCGTTACATTCATTTGCAGGGGCATATCACTGAATGATTGTTGTCTTCACATATCATGCCTTGCATAATTATTCTTCCGTTATCTTCTTGTACAGTGTCACTCCTGATCAACAGAGATCTAGTTTTCTGCAGGAAAAAAGCAGAAAATCTCTGCTTAAAAAACACAAAAAAATCCTTTTTTCCTTGCGAGCTACCAAAAGTGCAGTGGTGTCCCATGGCAAACGACACCATTTCTGCTCTCTCTTATTTTTGCTGCAGTTTTTGCGCCTCAGGCAATCAGCAGCTCACTCCCCCCACCACTGCTTGGTTGAGAGACAAAAACTGTGGCAAAAAGAGAGAGCAGAAGTAGCGCTGCTCATTGCAGGACACTGCCATAGTTTTCATAGTTTCTAGGGTCGGAAGGGACCTGAACAGATCATCAAGTCTGACCCCCTGCCCTGGGCAGGAACGAGTGCTGGGATAATAATACCCCAGCCAGATATCTATCCAACCTCCATTGGGATCCTGTCAGCCCTAACCATAAAGTAATGCCTCCTGATATCAAGCCTGAACCTACTCTCAATCAGTTTTGGTAGTTCTTGGAAAAATGTGGATTACATGTTTCTCCACAGATTTCCATAACAAATGGAAAACTAGGATCCCTGCTGATCAGGTGAATGCCAACTCTTCCTCCAGCTGAGGTCTCTGGGTTGACCATCCTTTTTTATACAATTTAGTCTTGAATCCAGGGACACGCACTCTCTCTAGGAATATTAATACCCAATGCCCCCTTTCTTATACTTTGAGCAGATTTTTCCAACTTGCAGCATAACGTGTAATATGTACGTGCGTATAATTTATCACTATCAGTTCTAGCGGCCCTTGGCTGCCTCCCATATCTTCTTCCATTCCCTTCTGTTGTGTGCTTTCATCTCCCAGTCATCCATATTTAATTTCTGTAGGTCCGACACTACATCATCCAGACATCTTCATCTTAGTCTTTCAGGCAGCATTCTCCCCTCTGGTACTTCCTTTGGTGTCTGGATCACTTCCATTCTTTCGATGTTGCCCGGCCACTGTGGTCATTGTGCTCTAATTTCCTTTGTCAGGGTTGGGTTTTTATACAATTGATATAACGTATTATTGATTCTTACATGCCATTCTTGTGTTATGGGATCATACTGTGTGCCAAAGGTTTTCTGTAAAATTTTCCTTTCAAAATGAGTTATGCCAGCATTATAGAAGCCTATCCATTTTGTGGAACAAACTTGGAGGAAAATCCTCTTCAAATGATACCAGTTTTTAGGTGAAGCAATGGTTTGCTTGATACCTGCCATCACTTAGGCTTTGCTTACTGATCTAAGGCTTCAGGATTGAGTTAGGTGGGATCTTCCCCCTCCTTCTGCACTGAGAATATGTTTTCACAAAGGGTGAGATGGTCAGGTTCCTGCCCAACTTGCAA